ACAAGTGGGTTGGTTTTATATATAGAGGTGGCATATATAGTACTACATATATCATATGTAGCAAGTTTTGGTCCGTATTATATGATTTATGTCCTAATATACAAGTCTATAAGTTCTGATTGGATCTACCAAAACTACACATTTGATACACTTAGGGGTGTATTCATTTAAAGATTTTTCGAAACTCTTTTTAAAGTGAGTGACATTGTACATTTGATACATGAACATCGTAATTCAGTGCCAGCTCTTTAGGTTTCTATGACTATTAGGACCAAAGTAGCATTGAAATTTAAAATAAGACTTGACATAAGATGCTTGGAAGTACTGAGACAGCCCACCTTATATTTGCATCACCAAAATATCTAATTTGCTGTTGAACTCATTCTCTCTTTCGAATTTGAGTGCATCACCAAAATTTCTAATTTTCTGTTGAACTCATTTTCTCTTTCAAATTTGAGCCCTTGTTATGTGTGTTGGATGTAGTGGAACTCATAGGTTGTTTATTGCTCAACTGGTTAATGAGTGCGTTACCATGTACATCAGTGTTGAGATCATACATTAATGTTAAGGATGACAATGTGTCTATATGTTAAGCTAACAACACACACTCTTGTAGGTACATACTGAAGTTGATACTCCGTACTTTATATACTACTTTCTAGGTGCTCGACTATTTAATATATGAATTTATTTATAAGCTTATTAAATATTATAAATTTATTTTTGAAGGTTTGTAATTGACTATTTAATATTAATGTATTTATCAGTAAATATTGCTAAGATTTTAAATATGTTGATTGTATACTAAATTAGTTGCATGTGCTTATAGAATTGCCTATTTTCTTACTCTTATTTTTTGTAACAATCCATAATTTGCAAATTGTTTAAAGTTTAACTCATCAATTTTATTTCTTTTATTGTAATTCTAAATGGATGAATTTTACTCATTTGATAATTCAAAATTTTATTTTATGAAATTTATTTACTTATGTTGCACAAAATTTTCATCTAAATGATTATTCTTTTATTTTATAGATGTGTTTGTATATATTTATTTATTAATACATTTTTCCAGCTTATGTAATGAGTTAATTAATATGCAATTTAAATATTTAGTTATATTATATATTTCACTGATTACCAAATTGCATAATTTTCAATTATGGTTTTGACTATATAATTTTTTATTACTTATTTTTCTTAAAAAAATCTATATTATTTGAATTATAATTTCTTAAATTGAATAGTGTATTTATGTATATTGGCATTTCTCATGTAAAGTATGAAGTTCTTAATTTTATCCAACTTGAATATATTATTAAAGCAGATGATACATTCAAATGGAATTACTTTTTTTTTTTCTTCCTCACGGTAATTCGTATATATAAAGCTGACTTTATTTTTTTTTAATCTTTTTTTAATATTTTGAATTATATGTTTAATTAATATGATTCAACCATAATTATTGTATCATGGAGCAAAAGAAAACTGAGGGTAGATGAGGGTGATTTTCTTACCAAAGTTGAGAGGAATAAAAGGGGTAAAAATGAGGAGACTTGGCCAAATTTAGGAGCTCCCATGAAGGGAAAATTGAGGCTGATTGAAGCTTTCAAACTCATCGACGTTACCAAAAAGGTTGTAAGGGGTTTGAATTTTGAATTGAGTTTTGGTGCCAAACACAACAAGCAAGGGGGGCCAGCTTTATGTGGCTCTTAAGGGGCCGGTTTTTTAAGATTAAAAGGGCCGGATATTTTGGACTCAAATTTGGCTAAAAAAAAGAAAACAAGACTCACGAGATTGGTCGCACTTGAACTTGAAATTGAACGATTTTTTTTAACGAACGATTTGACAATATTGGAATAATTTAAGTAGACGAGGATATCTACAAAAAGTATTTAACTACATGGGTTAAATAGATGAGGACATCTAAATAATTTCTTTTAAATTTAACGAAGAGTTTTAGTCGAGCTAGCACAATCATGAAATACGAAAAGCCACATAAGCATAAACATAAATCGACTCTTATTAATTGAACAGGGCACTAGAATCTACACTCCTTTGAAGATTTCCGTCCTTGGAAATTACAAAGTCCAAGGGATAAAACTCAAAACATAAAATTTGGATATTTTGTCTGAATCTCGTCCTCGCTTTCGCTCTCGCCATGGCAGTTTCACTGGACTTTGACGAGCGCCATTTCTCGGTTCCTCAATTAATGGACATTTTGGTCCAAAATGGCTACCGGTACCTCCTCATAAGTCAGGTCCTGCCCGGCATGAAACTCGGTAAAGTTCACCACATGTCCATGGTCATACACATATCTCGTAAAAATCGAGACATGAAACACATCATGCATCAGCAAAAGCTTCGGTTGTAGAGCCAACCAATTGGCTAGGTCTCCGACACGGTCTAGAATCTCGAAAGAACCAATGTACCAAGGCTACAACTTTCTTCTCTTCCCGAGTCGAATCACACCCTTCATCATTGCGAACTTTCGGAAGACCTTAGCGCCAACCTCGAACTGTAGATCCTTCCTCCTTTGATCAATATTGTAACGCCCCACTTTTATTTGCCGAAATTCTGAATAAATTTTTTCAAATTTATTTCAAAATACCTGATGTCCTACTCATTTTCAAGACAAACTTCAATACTTATTCGATTTCTCAATACTAAATCAATTATCAATATCAATCATCAATCATCAATTTTACTAACTCCCAAATGGGTTTTCCAAAATTAATAAGTCACCCAAACTGGGTTTCAATAACATTCATAAATTCTAAGGAGCATCTCCTTAACATTATTCAAGTCATAAAATCCAAATTCATAAATACAATAATACTCCAAGTTCATAGTCATAAAATTCAGAATTCATAAATGCGGAAGCATAACAAATAATAAGACCAATCTTATAGACCGACCACCACTCGCTCTACTCCGCCATCGTGCCTGCCTCGCTTAACCTGAAACGTGAATTTCAGGTGGGGATGAGCACAGTAGGAAAAAGTGGTGCTCACCAGTATGCAGTAAACACTTATCAAACAAATCAACAGTATGATCTCAGCATGAATAAGAATCAATCTAATATCCCAATCTCCTGTCATCATAATATCGTCATAAGATCGTCATAAAATCAAGACTCGTGTGCACGCCTATGCAAGACTACTGCTGACTATATATCGAATGCCCTCCGGTCCTCTATCGAGTGTCAGCCAGTAGGAGTAAACCACTACTGCTGACTATATATCGAATGCCCGTGGGTTCTACATCGAGTGCCAGCCAGTAGGAGTAATCCACTACTGCGGGGTAAAATACCGAATGCCCCTCGGGCTTCTATCGGTGCCCAAGCCAGTAGGAGTAAATCTTCAAGGGAGATTACCCAATGGGTACGTTCTAGAGCTACGGGGATAACCGTTCGACGGCCGGTACAGCTCACATCGAAGGCTACATGGTTCACATGCATACATTGATCATACCACAAATTATACATTAATAACCTTTACAGCATAGCAAATTTTAAAATAACAACCCACCTGGTAATCGGGTCAACATCGCCCAATCTGAAGAACGTAGGTCGAGGGCTCGACTCCACAAACCTAAAAATTAAAGATTTAATTATTATTAAGGGTGTTGATTGGATTGATTAGGCCACACAAGCAAGTAAAACACACTCAACTACTAAACCGCATCAAAAGGCTCAACACCGAACATAATTATTCATAGCCTGAAACAACAAGTCGAACTTATAATACACATAAGGTACAACACATAAGCATTCAATTAAAACATACAAAACACATGACATAGTTACTATTTACTTAAACATTCCTATTGATGGACTGGAGCTACTTAAATTTCTAAATGCCACCTCATTTTCACAGTTTTCAACAGTTTAATAAACAAATCATATTAGCTTATAAATACATAAATAGGCAGCACCTCATGCATCTATAAGTTTACCAAACCACACTAGAATAATATATATATATATATATATATATATATATATATATATGAAAAGAAACAAAAATTCTTTTTCCCAGAAGCATGTTACCTATTCTAGCACCATAACAACGCCTAATAACATTTTCAGAATGACTTACAAATTCAAGACAAAACAAAATTTTATGCTTCTCTCTCTTTCTTTTATCAAATTCAAGAGCAGCCCTCTAAACCACTTACTAAGTCTACAACCATTGAATTTAAATCTCTGAAATTCACCCAATTTTAGCATGCTACCTTACAAACAAGTTCAGCAATTAACAGAGCATGACTCATGGCCCAAAACGAAACATGCATGCTCTCATTTTCTTATCTTCTTTCTCAATCAGTCTTCAATACATAATGAGGCTGAGGTTAAAGGCATCTAAAACACTCCATAAATTTGGTAAAACATATCAGGTTCCTAAGCACGTAATATATATTTATCTTCACTGAACCTTTTAAACACAATAACTCAACCATTACAACAAGTAACAACACCATCTCGCAACAACCAAGTCGATGGATTTAGAAATTCAACAATTAATCACACCAACAATTTAACCTCTACTCATAAAGATCCGAACTTCACATAACCAGGATTTAAACTCACGAATTAACAAGAGAATTACGAAATTCACCTTTAGTCGGGAAATTACACGAAACAGAGTGGACCTCGGCCACTCGCGTACAGGCCACAGACGGGTTCGTCGGTGCTAGGGCTGCACGTGGTCGGCTTTCGTTCTTGGGAAAAACGGGCCCGGTTCGCTACGGCTCGATGTTGCAAAACAGACAGCTAACGGGGTGCCGTTCCTCTTCCCGCACGGGCCCAAAAGGCTGCCGCCGCGGTATCGGGCTCCCCTCGCACACGAACGGGGCTGCTCGGCATCATCGGCAGGGAGAAATATAAAGGAAATCGGCCGCTGCTGAATGTCGGGGATCGCCGGAAGAGTTGCGATGCGGCTGGGCTCCAAGTGACGGGTGGTGAACGGACACCGGAGGGGCTGCTCGTGGACAGAGGTTCAGCGGCTGCGTCTCTCGTCGGTGGATCTCACTGGTCGTTCGCACACGGTGGCAGAGGAGGCGGTGAAGGGTCGCCGACCATGGCTGGGATTTGCGATGGAGGCTCGACGGAAATTAAAATTGGAACAGGACTCGTTTGCTCGACGGCGGAGGGCTGCGTTCTCGGTTTGACAGGCGACGGCGGAGAGGGTCGCTTGTGATGGTTGCTGAAGGACGAGGAAAACCGCTAAATGACGGCGAATTCTCCACGCTCGCAGGACGCGAGGTGGACAGGCGTCGCGGATTCTGGCCTCGTGACGGCTCAACAGCGATTGGTCGGGGCTTGAAGGGCGGCGCGCGGCTGTTGGTCGTCGGTGAGGACTCCTGGTGGCCGCGACTGTGCAACACCGGCGACTGGAGGCTAAGAGTGGAGGGAGATTTTCAAGAGTTGATCGATGGAGGCGATTTCTAATGAGGGCTGAATGAGATTTGGGATGTTATTTCCCGATCGGTAATCTTAGGGCTCAAGAAGAGTTGGGTTTATTTGGGCCTAGGTAATTGGGCTGAGTTTTATCTCAAATGGGCTGACAATTTTAATTCATTTGGGCCGGATTTAAAAATCAAAATGGGCTGGAAATGTTAGGCCAAAGAATGGGCCGAAAATTATTACTACCATTGGGCTGGATATGATAGTAAATGGCCGAAGGTGGGTTGGAATTCAATCCGGGTCGATTATAATTTATCCGGAAAGACCGAAAATATTCTCGATAGATTGAGCCGAGTATCAAGTTCCAGACTCATTCGGAAAGACGGCTCGAAAAATTCAATCGCACGATAAAATAAATAAACCGGATATTATTTATAATACACACAATTTAATTTTTAAAAAATAATAATATTACAAAAATACAAATACACATTTTTAATTAAATAATAACACTCAAACAATTAGGCAAACAAATAACATTTAGACAATTAAATATTTAATCACAATTTGGCAAATATATCATTTTAGACATTTAATAATCTTTAGCATTCAATTAATAATAATAATAATAACAAATAAAGATAAATAATAATAATATATAATGATAAATAATTCCCAAATATTCCATAATCAAACGGGGCATTACAATCTATCCTCCTTAAAATATTTCCGTCCTCGGAAATGCGAAAGAACACACATAAAAAAAAAAGGCAACGACAGACTCGAACGAAAAATTTCTAATCACGAGGTTCGGGCATCACCCTCTAGAACTCGATTTCGTTCCCATGAGTCTTATTGCCTAATACTCGAAAGGCATGTATTCACATACAGGAACCAATCCGACTAGCCCTATGATCATATGTTTACCGTCTCGCTTGGGAGGGTGATCAGTCCTGTCCGAGCTCAGGCGTACATCTTCTTGCAAGGGACCCAGTTCGGTTTAGCCTATACTCATGAGTATCAACGACTTGCTTCGTACCTAACAGCACACAAGACCTCAACAGGTCGTTCGGTGTATTGTCAGCGTACTCCGTCTACCTCACCATCAAGGTGGACACGTGACGCCAAGTTTCAGTCTCGTATCCGAGTCACACTGATAACTTGCTCACAATTTCATCACAGACCGTGCGTCTCCATCCGAGACCACAACATGGTACCACTAAATACAACACGACATTCCCAATTTTTCGACTCGAGAAACCCTCAAGTAAAGCATAGGGACTCATCGACTACACTCCTTATTCAAAAGAAATATCGATTAAGGATGTATACACATTTTAGTGGAACTTGGAGCTCTCGGTTCAAGGTTCGAACGAAAGGGTTTCAAAAAGGATAACCAAGTATTCCATCATGAAACGGTTTCAACAGTCCAGTAAAAGCATCGATGGTTGGCCGTATACGCTGGACTGGGGAGTTCGTGCGTACAGTGATGGCGGCTGCAATTCGCATGCGAGTCAACGGTCGGCCGCGCGCAAGCCTCCCGTCTCTCAGCACGGTCATGCGTGCTCGGCCACCACTTCGCGTGACTACACCCAGCTAGGGTCGAGGTTTGGTCCAGGTTTTCACAAGAAATTTCAATTCAAGGCTACCAAAAAGGAATGGTCTTACAAAATTTCAAAATTTTTGGGGTCAACGAAACAACATATATTTCAGGAATTTCTCAATTTCAAAAGTTTCAAAAAGTCTCGAAAATAGCAAGGTGCAAGTTCGAGTTCCAAGTCCACCAACTTTCTAAATCAACAACACGCTATACGCCACAGATCCAATAATATGCGAAAACTCAAAGAACACTCATGACGATTCTCCCTAAGTCAGCGGCTTCTGCCGAGACATTAGATAGATAGCTCGCCTCGGCTCTTCCGTCTATCAGCGTCGGTTGATACGTCACCTCTTCGTCGGGTAGCTAATCGTGTCCGCAGTCCTAAACGAGCGCAACTCACTTCCCAATCTTCACACTTTGGAATTGAACGCGAAGTTCTTCCCGGGATTCCGAAAGGAGTAGAAGAACAAAAATTTTCACGATGAACAAGATTTAGAATAAGGACGGTTCTGCACTACGCGATGCGCTTGCTTCTGACTCGACTATCCTCCTTAAAAGGCTTCTGCATAATCTTTTAAGGTGGAAAAATACTCCATCTTCTTATCGAACCGAATTGTGCTGGCTTCAGCTCCTGCGTGTTTATCTCGATGCCGAGCGTGAACAATTATCGTCTCCCTCGAGGTTAGGTTATTCACAAAAGTGGCGATAGAGAAATTTTGCCCTCGAGTCTTCGTGATATATTAGCGATGGTATTCGAACGAAACTCTCATACTTCGCAAGAGAATAAAGATAAGCAGAAACAAAGAGATGCTTAATCTCACTTGAAATCAGGTTTTCCAAATAAAAGTCATTTCCCAACATGAGATAAACCAGAATTAGCTAAACTTCAAGAAAAGTAAATTTAAAGTTGGGAAGCTTAAAATAGTTTACACTGCGAATCAAAATTAGGGGAAGATCAAGCGAAATCCTGAAAATACAAAAATTGGATAACAAGAAGAAGCCTCAAGCACACTTCAAAATTGTTTGCCATGTGAATGGAAAAAAGTTTGCAAGAGTATACAAGAAGAGAAGAATTTAAGAAAGGCAGCACGAGTGCTTCGTCATCACGAGTCTACGATTCACTGTTTTCATAATCGGTTCAAGCTGCTTCTGGTAAGTCCCGCTGGCTCTGGAAATCGCTCGCGGATGGTCCTCTTCCGAAGACACAAAAATGCATCGAGAGGACTGTTATACACAGAACTCAGCTCGATAACACCACACCAAATTTCTAAACAAACAAAACCTCAAGGTAGAACTTAACTCTATATCGCTAGAGTTCAAGTTCATACAATTAAGGTTCGCCACCCATCTAGAGTTACAGAACGTTTAAAAGTAGTAGGATAAATTCCTAAGCCCCGGTTTACATATCATAATATCCCAATATTTCACATCATATCATTCTATCCATAAATCAGGCAACATAATCAATTTAACTTAATCAGGAATCTCATACCTGAGTTGGCGAGGCACGACGGAAGCGAGTGGTCATAACTTACATCACATATTTTCACAGAGTTCACATAATTCAAGTATACCAGTCTACAGAAACGCAGACTGGCTCTGATACCAAACTGTAACGCCCCACTTTTATTTGCCGAAATTCAGAATAAATTTTTTCAAATTTATTTCAAAATACCTGATGCCCTACTCATTTTCATGACAAACTTCAATACTTATTCGATTTCTCAATACTAAATCAATTATCAATATCAATCATCAATCATCAATTTTACTAACTCCCAAACGGGTTTTCCAAAATTAATAAGTCACCCAAACTGGGTTTCAATAACATTCATAAATTCTAAGGAGCATCTCCTTAACATTATTCAAGTCATAAAATCCAAATTCAGAAATACAATAATACACCAAGTTCATAGTCATAAAATTCAGAATTCATAAATGCGGAAGCATAACAAATAATAAGACCAATCATATAGACCGACCACCACTCGCTCTACTCCGCCATCGTGCCTGCCTCGCTTAACCTGAAACGTGAATTTCAGGTGGGGATGAGCACAGTAGGAAAAAGTAGTGCTCACCACTATGCAGTAAACACTTATCAAACAAATCAACAGTATGATCTCTACATGAATAAGAATCAATCTAATATCCCAATCTCCTGTCATCATAATATCGTCATAAGATCGTCATAAAATCAAGACTCGTGTGCACACCTATGCAAGACTACTGCTGACTATATATCGAATGCCCTCCGGTCCTACATCGAGTGCCAGCCAGTAGGAGTAACTCACTACTGCTGACTATATATCGAATACCCTCCGGTCCTTCATCGAGTGTCAGCCAGTAGGAGTAAACCACTACTGCTGACAATATATCGAATGCCCGCGGGTCCTACATCGAGTGCCAGCCAGTAGGAGTAATCTACTACTGCAGGGTAAAATACCGAATGCCCCTCGGGCTTCTATCGGTGCCCAAGCCAGTAGGAGTAAATCCTCAAGGGAGATTACCCAATGGGTACGTTCTACAGCTACGGGGATAACCGTTCGACGGCCGGTACAGCTCACATCGAAGGCTACATGGTTCACATGCATACATTGATCATACCACAAATTATAAATTAATAACATTTACAGCATAGCAAATTTTATAATAACAACCCACCTGCTAATCGGGTCAACATCGCCCAATCTGAAGAACGTAGGTCGAGGGCTCGACTCCTCAAACCTAAAAATTAAGGATTTAATTATTATTAAGGGTGTTGATTGGATTGATTAGGCCACACAAGCAAGTAAAACACACTCAACTACTAAACCGCATCAAAAGGCTCAACACCGAACATAATTATTCAAAGCCTGAAACAACAAGTCGAACTTATAATACACATAAGGTACAACACATAAGCATTCAATTAAAACATACAAAACACATGACATAGTTGCTATTTACTTAAACATTCCTATTGATGGACTGGAGCTACTTAAATTTCTAAATGCCACCTCATTTTCACAGTTTTCAACAGTTTAATAAACAAATCATATTAGCTTATAAATACTTAAATAGGCAGCACATCATGCATCTATAAGTTTACCAAACCACACTAGAATAAAATATATATATATATATATATATATATGAAAAGAAACAAAAATCCTTTTTCCCAGAAGCATGTTACATATTCTAGCACCATAAGAACGCCTAATCACATTTTCAGAATGACTTACAAATTCAAGACAAAACAAAATTTTTTGCTTCTCTCTCTTTCTTTTATCAAATTCAAGAGCAGCCCTCTAAACCACTTACTAAGTCTACAACCATTGAATTTAAATCTCTGAAATTCACCCAATTTTAGCATGCTACCTTACAAACAAGTTCAACAATTAACAGAGCATGACTCATGGCCAAAAACGAAACATGCATGCTCTCATTTTCTTATCTTCTTTTTCAATCAGTCTTCAATACATAATGAGGCTGAGGTTAAAGGCATCTAAAACACTCCATAAATTTGGTAAAACATAATAGGTTCCTAAGCACGTAATATACATTTATCTTCACTGAACCTTTTAAACACAATAACTCAACCATTACAACAAGTAACAACACCATCTCGCAACAGCCAAGTCGATGGATTTAGAAATTCAACAATTAATCACACCAACAATTTAACCTCTACTCATAAAGATCCGAACTTCACATAACCAGGATTTAAACTCACGAATTAACAAGAGAATTACGAAATTCACCTCTAGTTGGGAAATTACACGGAACAGAGTGGACCTCGGCCACTCGCGTACAGGCCACAGACGGGTTTGTCGGTGCTAGGGCTGCACGTGGTCGGCTCTCGTTCCTGGGAAAAATCGGCCCGGTTCGCTACGTCTCGATTTTGCAAAACAGACAACTAACGGGGTGCCGTTCCTCTCCCCGCACGGGCCCGAAAGGCTGCCGCTGCGGTATCGGGCTCTCCTCGCACACGAACGGGGCTGCTCGGCATCATCGGCAGGGAGAAATATAAAGGAAATCGGCCGCTGCTGAATGTCGGGGATCGCCGGAAGAGTTGCGATGCGGCTGGGCTCCAAGTGACGGGTGGTGAACGGACACCGGAGGGGCTGCTCGTGGACAGAGGTTCAGCGGCTGCGTCTCTCGTAGGTGGATCTCGCCGGTCGTTCGCACACGGTGGCAGAGGAGGCGTTGAAGGGTCGCCGACCGTGGCTGGGATTTGCGATGGAGGCTCGACGGAAATTAAAATTGGAACAGGACTCGTTTGCTCGACGGCAGAGGGTTGCGTTCTCGGTTTGACCGGCGACGGCGGAGAGGGTCGCTTGTGATGGTTGCTGAAGGACGAGGAAAACTGCTACTCAATGACGGCAAATTCTCCACTCTCGCAGGACGCGAGGTGGACAGGTGTCGCGGATTATGCCCCCGCGACGGCTCAGCAGCGATTGGTCGGGGCTTGAAGGGCGGCGCGCGGCTGTTGGTCGTCGGCGAGGACTCCTGGTGGCCGCGACTGTGCAACACCGGCGACTGGAGGCTAAGAGAGGAGGGCGATTTTCAAGAGTTGATCGAGGGAGGCGATTTCTGATGAGGGCTGAATGAGATTTGGGATGTTATTTCCCGATCGGTAATCTTAGGGCTCAAGAAGAGTTGGGTTTATTTGGGCCTATGTAATTAGGCTGAGTTTTATCTCAAATGGGCTGACAATTTTAATTCATTTGGGCCGGATTTAAAAATGAAAATGGGCTGAAAATGTTAGGCCAAAGAATGGGCCGAAAAATATTACTACCATTGGGCTGGATATGATAGTAAATAGCCGAAGGTGGGTCGGAATTCAATCCGGGTCGATTATAATTTATCCGGAAAGACCAAAAATATTCTCGATAGATTGAGCCGAGTATCAAGTTCCAGACTCATTCGGAAAGACGGCTCGAAAAATTTAATCGCACGATAAAATAAATAAACTGGATATTATTTATAATACACACAATTTAATTTTTAAAAAATAATAATATTATAAAAATACAAATAAACATTTTTAATTAAATAATAACACTCAAAGAATTAGGTAAACAAATAACATTTAGACAATTAAACATTTAATCACAATTTGGCAAATAAATCATTTTAGACATTTAATAATCTTTAGCATTCAATTAATAATAATCATAATAACAAATAAAGATAAATAATAATAATATATAATGATAAATAATTGCCAAATATTCCATAATCAAACGGGGCATTACAAACATAGTACTTCTGTCGGTCCTGGGATGCCTTGATCATCGCTCAGATCTCATCAACTAGCTTTACTGTCTTCTTAATGATCTCTGATCCATAAACCTTCCTCTCGCTAACCTCATCCCAAAACAAAAGGTGTCCTACACCTGCGTCCGTACAAAGCCTCGTACGGTGCCATCTGGATCGTCGCCTGATAACTATTGTTATAGGTGAACTTTACAAGCAGCAATGTGTCCTCCCACGAGTCGCTTCAATCCAAAACACAGACCTCAACCACTCCTCAAGGGTTTTGATCATCCGCTTCGACTGTTCATAATTCTCAGGGTGATAAGGGGTACTATATTTGGCCTCGTACCCATATCCTGCTGCACGCTAGCCCAAAATCTAGAAGTGAACCGTGCGTCTCACTCGCAAATGATCGGCATGGGCACTCCATGCAATCAGGCTGTCTCCTCTAAAATCTCCTCCCATAGCTCTAGCACCTTCGGAACACCAAGCTTCTGCTCGAAGACTAATGACCCATCTAATGCTACTGCGATGCCTCCTATCTTGCCAGCTCGAGAAAGCTCTTAAATACGACATATGAATCTATCATTTGGTGTCTTGGTAACAATTCTCTCTCGTAGAGTCGGTCCCACGACTAGTTATGCCAAAACACCACAACTCCAGACGACGACTCCACTAACTCAATCTCTATTCGAGCAAACTCCCAAATCAGCTGCTCCTGCTGAGAAATCAAACAAGCTAGCTCGCCTCAACCCTTTTGACTAAGAGCATCGGCCACCACGTTAGCTTTCCCAGGATGGTAGCTAATCGTGCAGTCATAGTCCTTAACGAGCTCAAGCCATATTTGTTTCCTCTTGTTCAACTCCTTCTTCGTGAACATGTACTTCAGACTTCTGTGGTCTGTAAAGATCTCACACTTACTCCCGTAGAGGCACGTCTCCAAATCTTTAGTGCATGAACAACAACAGCTAACTCTAGGTTGTGCTTCGGATAGTTCTTCTCGTGCTGCTTCAGCTGCCTTGTCGCATAAGCCCCGACCTTCCCCTGCTGCGTCAACACACATCCTACTCGCTTTAAAGCATCACTATAGACCGTGAACTCCAAAGTAGGGTCAGGTATGATTAACAAAAGGTGTGGTAGTTAATTTTGCCTTGCGCTCTTGGAAACTGGCCTCGCACTGTGGACTCCAAATAAACTCCACCGCTTTCCTTGTCAACTGAGTTACCGAATGAGGTATCTTCAAAAAGCCCTCGATGAACTTCTAATAGTAACCAGCCAGTCCCAATAAGCTGTGAATCTCGCTCGCGTTCTTTGGAAACTTCCAGTTACTCACTGCTTCTATCTTGTTAGGATCCACCTCTATCCCCTAGGTTGTGACAATGTGACTGAGAAATGCAACTCGGTCGAGCCAAAATTCACACTTCGAGAACTCAGCGTAAAGTCTCTATCGTGGAAGTATCTCTAGCACCACCTTCAGTTGCTCCTGGTGCTGCTCGACATCTCTAGAATAGGCCATGATGTCGTCGATGAACACGATGACATACTGGTTCAAGTAAGGATGGAACATTCAGTTTATGAGGTCCATCAATACCGCCGGCACGTTGCTTAACCCAAAAGACATCACCACAAACTCGAAATGCCCCTACCGGTATCTAAATGATGTCTTAGACACGTCGAACTTCTTGAGTGGTTGCCAGATCTCAAATCCATCTTCAGGAACATGATTGCTCCCTTCACCTAATCGAACAAGTTCTTAATCCTCGACTCAGGTACTTATCATTCGTCGTCAATCTGTTGAGCTCACGATAGTCGATGCACATCCTCATCGACCTATCCTTTTTCTTCACGAAAAGGACAGGTGTTCCCCACAGTGAAACACTCGGTTGAATGAAACCGAGATTCAAAAGCTCTTGAATTTGTGTCTTAAACTTCTACAGTTCTTTTGGTGCCATTCGATACGGCACCTTAGGTACTGGACCCACTCCCGGTGCCAAGTTGATTGTGAACTTGTCTTGCCAGTCTGGTGGTCCTTCTTTAGCTGCTCGGGAAAACATCCATGTACTCTCAAGTGATCGGCACATCTTACGGTGATGGTCTCTCCTTCTCGCTCCCAACGATGTTCACCAAAAACCCTTGGCTACCCTCCTTGTGTAGGTTCTTCATAGTCCTTATTGTGGAAATCACCCTTGGCATTTCCTCAACTTCGCTCCATAGAAAGTAATCTTCTCATCTCCCTCCAAGTAGATCATCGTCTCACGATCATGGCAATGGATGTCCACTTGGCATCTGCTGAGAAAATTCACCCCGAGGAAATACGTCGAAGTCCTTTACATCGAGCAAGTATGCGTTGATCTTTACGTTCTTCCCTCCGATGCTAACGTTCAACTCTTTCACAAGAGTATCGGTAACTATCGTTTTTCTTGAGGCTCAGCTACCCTCGAGAGTCGCGACAGTATTAATGCTCTTGGTTTTTTGCAACACCTTTGGTGTTGAACAACAAAGTGTTCGAAGTATTTGATTCTGTTCATTGTACTAAAATCGATGGTGGATTCCACCACTCTTTCGCTGGGCTTTCTGCTAACTGTTGCAGACGATAACCATCAATAAACCTTGGCAAATTCTCTTTCTAAAGCTCTTTCTTTTTAGTTGGGATCACTTGTAAACAATTTTCAATTCAACGCTTAACATACAAACTTCTTAGCCTTTTCTTCTTTTGACCTGTAAAAGTCACCTCAGCTATGTGTCATCACGGCCCAGCCTCAAGTTCTCCATGGTCTACACAGACTTGTGGCTCTTAAACGTAGGAAGAGTGTTACTACAAGTACTTTCTAGAATGTAACGCCCCTTTTTATTTACAGAATTTACCGAATTTATTTATAAAAATCAGTTTACTTTTCGCGAAATCCCAATTTAAACTTTAATATTTAACGGGCGCTACTTAAACAACTAAAACAAATAAACATTTACACAGATACAATCCAACAGCTCAAAACAAAATCCCAAGTTATCCATAAACTTCAAACCAGTCATGCATAAACAAATATTCAACATGTTCGAAATAAATAAAGCGGAAGCATAAATATTCAGAGTTAAACAAATGGTCTATCAAAATAATAGAAAGAAAAACGGAAGCAAGCAACACATAATCCAACGACCACCACTCGATCGTCTCTCGCTGCCGCCGCCAACCATGCTCAACCTAAAAGATAGAAAGAGCAACAAGAGGACAGAAAAGTAAATGGGGGTGAGTACAACCATCATACTCACATTTACCGCACAGTATATTTCGCATAAAGATCCATAACCATAAATAATGTATGCATAGAATCCAGATCTAACTCCCTATTAGGCCCTATCGCAAACCTCCTATGTACATACAACAAACCTCCCGACCAGACATCGGCGAGGATGTAACTGGAAGCACTCCCACCCCGGATGCAACGGGCGTAGGATCTTACCAGGAGACAGTGAAGTTGAATTACCCCTCCGCTCTACATGGACTCGGGCGTTCAGACAATCACCTCTGCTCTACACGGATTCGGGCGCCCACCTCCCGGATGCAACGGGCAGGTGACTTCCACTGATTATGCATTCGTCAAAGGCACTACCATCAGGATACTTAGACTAGGGTTCTCACGCATACAAAAACTATCGCGACAAACATTTATACGAAATAACAAGTGCGATAAATGTAGATTCAACATAAATGAACCCACCTGGTAGCGACCGGAATAAACACAAAGTAAGGGTAGGCAGCGAGGTTGACTCGTCAAACACCTACATTTATTAAAATAGCCTTATCAAGAACTATTCGGAAATTTACTTAGTCTAACTAAGTTCACGTAATCATTTAAGCACGCATCATAATAAGGGAAACACATTTTCGAAAATATCACATAAGTTTTTGAAAACTTGACCCGAGCAGCGTTTTTAAAATCGACATAACTTTCAGCATATAACTCATATGAACATGAATCAAGTTGCATTGGAATCCTAAAACATGCATCTACAATTCTTATGAAGATACTGAAAGCAAATAAGGTCATTTAACAGGTAATAAATCAACAAACATTAAAATTTGAGTCACTTTCCTTCTAGTCGAGCCTC